GGTGCTGCTTACTGACTTATTCTCCATGGCTTGCTTAGCCTTAGCCTGCTTTCCTATAGAACCCAGCAACACTTTCCCAAGGATTACACCACCTACAATGGGCTGGGCTCTCCCACATCAATTACAAATGAAGAAAATGCCCTACAGGTTTTCCTACAGCCTCATCTTATGGAGGCATTTTCCCAATTGAGGCTCCCTCCTCTGATGACTTTAGCTCGTGTCAAATTGATATGAAAGTGGCCATCACAGAGGGAAACAGTTTCTAGATTAGATACCACATGCTAGCAACTAAAAACCCAGTTCCAGGAATGGATTGCTTCTTTTTGAGTTGTTGGCCAATGGGGTTCAAAAGAGGCACTGCAAATATGATAGTACTCCATAGACTCTTATTCTCTGTACACTGACTAACTGTGGGTCTTTTAAATTGCCATCTCCTACTAGAAGAAGCTTCTCTTATGAAGGTTGAGAGATGCACTAGTCTATGGGTATAGCAATAAGTCATTAGTCATTTTAATGCTATATTCAATTAGCAGGATAATACTAGTTGGTTCTTCCCACAGAGGCTGTGAACTATTTACTCACAGGTTCTTGGTTACATTAATGATGAAAGGTAAGGTTTGCATCTTGTGTAGCAGTTCTTAAATCCAAACACAAAGTAGTTGTTTACTTTCACAACATGCTACTATTGCATCAGTGGGCATATATTGCCATGACAGTCATTGTAGGTCATAGAGTTTTCAAATAGATAAATTTGATGATCCCTTTTCTTCTTTAGTGGCATGCATAGCACTTTCTAGCACTATGAAAGATAGCTAGTAAGGATGAAACTTCCAGGTCAGTACCAGCTCGATTTCTTCAGGTTTTATGGCTCAAATGTGTGGGGTATTCAGCAATAGGAGGCCTTATCGTTAACTTCTAGATGGTAACCAAGAGCAACTGCTGAAAACTCCATCCTGCAAAGAATGTATCAAGAACTCCAAAATATTTTCCACAAAATAAATATTTATCTAAATCATATTTAAATATATTTCATATATCAAAGAGAAATATGTATTTCTGTATAATATATGCCAACAGAATGGAGGCTTCATAGGAACAAAGATTTTGTTTTGCTCATTGCTCTGTACCTACTTTTTTAGTGCTTGCATAGTAAGCACTGAATAAACACCTGGTATAGTAAGGTTTTCCTCTGTGCTAACTATCCTACCCATAGACCATCCTGCTCTTCCTTATTTCAGAAGTTACAAAGTAGTATGACATATTCAAATATTTTAGTTTCAATAATGTTTGTGGAGTTACAATGTTAGAAACAAGCTAGTTGACTGCCATTGATGAATTTAATAAATAAAATATGTGGCAATACATTATGATAAAAATATCCATTATATT